TAAAAATTATATGTATGAACTTAATGAATTCAACAATTTTGTAATTTGTTGACATACTCTAAAGACAACTTCAAATGCTTTTTTGTAGATATATATACATATATATATATATCTATTTTTTAATTTCAATTTGCTTTCATAAATTCCAAAAATAATTATTATTGGAATATTATTTACAGTCAATTATATGAGAGTTTAAACCTAATTGGTTTCAATTAAAGAGCCACATGAAAGAGTTGAAATCAACCCAAAGTATTTCTATAATGCAAGTTTACTAAAGCCCATTAAAAATAAGGGATAAAATCGAAATAAAATTGAGCTGAAAAATTAATCCAGAAACCATAAAAAATCGTTAAAGCTTTGGATAATGTTTCGAGAGTCTAAAGCAAAAGAAATTTTGGAACTCGGAGGGCTTCATGCAATTGTTTGCAAAAATTATGAAAGGCTTTAGATGATATTTAAAGTTGAATTTTATTAATAGAAATTTCAATTTGAATGACAAACTATTGTGGCTTTAATAGGGAAAGTTAGGAAAAAACGGGGTTTATTTTGATAAAGTAAATTTTGTTTTGGGGTGAAATAAATTTAGAGAGTTTGACAATAGAAGCAAGAGCTCATATGTTGATAAATATGATTAAGATTGAAAAACGTATATAAATTGCATTTCATCTGATCAAATGAACAGATTAGACATTTTTATACTCATTCACGAAAGTAAATTGAGTATATTGGTTTGCTCGTGTTGCTGACTATTCGCCTGCCTGCCTCTCTGTGTGACTTGAAATTCCAATACATACATACGTAAACCCTTCATCCCTAAACTAGGGGCGTGGCAACTGCAACGTTCTTTCCTGTTGAAATGGAACTCAAATTATTTTACTCGAAGTTGTATAAAACAAAAAATAAATATATGAATATCTTTATATTAATATATATATCACTTAATCTTCGACTTGTCCACACACATAGCAGCGTTATAATCTCCTGTACTCCGATTGAAGGCATAAATTGTGCGCACAGCTGCTCATTAAGTCGTCGTTGGATTTGCTTGGTTCATAATGCTTAAGTGCGCTTGCTCAAGCCTCAATAATTATCTAAGCATATTAATATAACTGTTTATTTGTGTGCTTATTGGCCAAATGTTGCCACTTCTGTGTGGAGCCAGTCGATTGGGCAGCTTTAGTCACTAGGCAAGGGTTAACCTCACTCTATTCTAAATAGTAATTATATCTGTTCTCAGTTGACCTCACAATTTGCACGCAATTTGACAAGCAGACATAAGTATATTCCCCATTCGTCAAATGTATTTCAATTATTAATAATACACACAGAGATAGAGAGAGAGAGACAGAGAGAGAGAGAGACAGAGAGAGACAGAGAGAGAAAGAGACAGAGAGAGAGGGCGAGGGAGATGCATAGAGATGCCTGCGTGTGTGTGTGTGTTTGCCTAGGCTACAAAATTGGCTTTGCTCGAGCAGCGCTTGACAAACTAACCGAGTTTGGCAGTTTGGCGCAGGGTTGCCAAGTGTTTGCAAAAGCCAAACTTAAGCACTAAGCACTTGACATTTCACGCTTCATAGCTTTGCTTCATTAAAGCTTTGGATAATGTTTCGAGAGTCTAAAGCAAAAGAAATTTTGGAACTCGGAGGGCTTCATGCAATTGTTTGCAAAAATTATGAAAGGCTTTAGATGATATTTAAAGTTGAATTTTATTAATAGAAATTTCAATTTGAATGACAAACTATTGTGGCTTTAATAGGGAAAGTTAGGAAAAAACGGGGTTTATTTTGATAAAGTAAATTTTGTTTTGGGGTGAAATAAATTTAGAGAGTTTGACAATAGAAGCAAGAGCTCATATGTTGATAAATATGATTAAGATTGAAAAACGTATATAAATTGCATTTCATCTGATCAAATGAACAGATTAGACATTTTTATACTCATTCACGAAAGTAAATTGAGTATATTGGTTTGCTCGTGTTGCTGACTATTCGCCTGCCTGCCTCTCTGTGTGACTTGAAATTCCAATACATACATACGTAAACCCTTCATCCCTAAACTAGGGGCGTGGCAACTGCAACGTTCTTTCCTGTTGAAATGGAACTCAAATTATTTTACTCGAAGTTGTATAAAACAAAAAATAAATATATGAATATCTTTATATTAATATATATATCACTTAATCTTCGACTTGTCCACACACATAGCAGCGTTATAATCTCCTGTACTCCGATTGAAGGCATAAATTGTGCGCACAGCTGCTCATTAAGCCGTCGTTGGATTTGCTTGGTTCATAATGCTTAAGTGCGCTTGCTCAAGCCTCAATAATTATCTAAGCATATTAATATAACTGTTTATTTGTGTGCTTATTGGCCAAATGTTGCCACTTCTGTGTGGAGCCAGTCGATTGGGCAGCTTTAGTCACTAGGCAAGGGTTAACCTCACTCTATTCTAAATAGTAATTATATCTGTTCTCAGTTGACCTCACAATTTGCACGCAATTTGACAAGCAGACATAAGTATATTCCCCATTCGTCAAATGTATTTCAATTATTAATAATACACACAGAGATAGAGAGAGAGAGAGACAGAGAGAGAGAGAGACAGAGAGAGACAGAGAGAGAAAGAGACAGAGAGAGAGGGCGAGGGAGATGCATAGAGATGCCTGCGTGTGTGTGTGTGTTTGCCTAGGCTACAAAATTGGCTTTGCTCGAGCAGCGCTTGACAAACTAACCGAGTTTGGCAGTTTGGCGCAGGGTTGCCAAGTGTTTGCAAAAGCCAAACTTAAGCACTAAGCACTTGACATTTCACGCTTCATAGCAATATCAATGGCAATGTGAATCGAGTCCGCAAATTCCCAATGCCCATGCTGACTATTTACTTACTTTCGGTATTCGGCTTGGGACTCTGAGCAGATTCTTGATTAAACATTTGTGTTATGATATAAATACGTCCACATCTGCCTCCCAATCTCACTGTCTGTTTCGGTCACTATATATATGTGTGTGTGTGTGTGTGTGTTTAGTGTAGGTGTACTTACAATTCGCTTTGATTGCTATTTACCGCCTGACTGCATCCTTTTAGCCTTGCAGTTTTGATCCTTTAATAGAATATTTAATTTTAATTACAAACATTTGATTTCCCACTTCAGCCAGCGCTACTCTATAGCAACCAAGAGACAGCTAGAGAGAGAGAGAGAGAGAGAGAGAGAGAGAGAGAGAGGGGTATGGCATGTGACTTTAAAAATGCATGACATATGTCGCTCTCGCCATACACAGAATTTGCGCTGAATGGCAGGCGAATTGAATGCGTGTCTGGCTGAATGCAGGCATAAGCCCGCCCAAGTTGTGGAACTAAGCGTGACAGCAACGGCAACGGTGGCAACGGCGATGGCGATGCCGACGTCGAGACGACAAGACCAAGTACTATATACGCCTTTGTTAATGCCCAGACTGGAGCGCTGACAGCGTCTTGAGTCCTTGCAACGAGGGTCTCCTTACAGCGCTAAGAGGGCACGCACTACGCAGACAACATTTAAAGCAATTTCCTATTATAATTCGTAATCAGTTTACGGCTGGAAAAACAATTTAAGGTGCTGCCTAGCTAAATGAGGTTGAAGTTGAAATTTGTCTGTCGGCATGAAGATCTCGACGTGTGTCTAGCGATATATGGTGTCTATCTATCTATAGCTGTGGTAGCTGCTGGCAAGATTTGATATCTCAAATGGTTATACAACTATCCAGTATTTCATAAAATCTATTTGTATGTCGATCGATATATATTGACAGATAACTTGTTTGCGATTCATTAAAATGCCTAACGATGTACATAGGCAGATAACTTGTTTTCGACTCATTAAAATGCCAATCTATACTTCCATATTATGTTTATTCGATATTCATTCCTATCGGTATATGTCAATTAATATCGATAATTCGAAATGACAGAGAATCCGGTTTTTTTTTTCGATTTACACAGAAATTAAAATTTTTGAGTTTCATCTAGAACGATTTTTTTCAAGGGAATAGAATTTTTTCGTTTTATCGCAATTTTTGACGGTATATTCTTTTTTTTCTCAAAAACTTTTTAAAAACTTTATAGATATAAATATATACTTTTCGATCAAAGTTTATGCAAATGCCCCAAAATTTAGAATATGAATATATGAGAAATGTGTATTATGTATCGATAACAAACATTTGTTTTGGTAGTCTGCTTACTAAGTGTGTGCCTATCGATAACAAACATTTGATTCGATATTATGTATACGAAAGGTATGCCTATAAATAAGCGAAAATATAACTGCTTATGCTTACAAGTGAGCAGATGAGGGGAAGGTAGATATCAATGTGTATCTATCTATAGCTGTTAACACACTCTACAGAATGTATAAAATATATTTACCTATCGATATATATGAATGTTTATCGATAGCTCGTTTTAAAAAATGTGAAGACTCTAGAAAATGAGATATATGTATGTCTAGCTATCATTCATTAATTGAGAGCTGTAAGCTTTTAGTCTCAATCAACTTGTCTAATAGCCGATAGATTGAACTCCATGGAGCGACCCTCGCGTAACATAAGAATCGTGTGCCCCATGCAGCTGCCACATGCAGCGCTGGCTGCCTTCTATGCTTATTTGCGGATGCTCGCATGTTGCACTTTATGTGCCATGTCTGTGGGATGATGATGATGATAATGATGATGATGATGATGATGATGAGCTCTGCGTATGTTGACTGAACAGCAACAGCAGCCGAAAGAGCTTAGGGCTGCTCCAGCTATATGAAGGACTATTCAATCCTTTGCCATGCAGCAGGCGATTGAAGAGTCATAGCAATGACCTTAGCTGCACTTGGCTGCATTTTTTTTTTTTTTTTTTTGCATTAGCAGCAGCAGCATGCGAGAAAGCAAACAACATAGCATAGAGCATAAAATATGCAAAATATGAAAAACATGTCTAATAATGATTTCCCTTTCTTCTTGCTCTCTTTGCAGGTGAGTAGACGTATGCGTATTTGGCATTTTCAAATCCCAAACATCAGGCTGATGTGCACATGTTTCTCCCCAAATATCCGTATGTATATATATATATATGTGTCTATAGTGGGTAAGTAGTCAAACAGGGCTGGAATGAGCATTAAACTCATCCAATAAAACACACACACACACACGTGTGTTCATACACCTGTGCACCAGCAGTCACATTGACAGCCCATCGATTTTGCAGTCAAAGTCGGAAGTTAAAGTTTGAATGCGATACTTCTTGCTCTCGCCTCGATGGCTTTGCGCTAAGTTCTGCGTTTGCCGGTCGCGTTCCATTTGTCAATGTGGAGCACGTACTCAATCTTCTGGCTTGTCAAACTTCCCAATGTTTGCGGCCAAAATATCAAAAAGAAAGCACAAAAATATATACATATATATATGTATATGTATAAATAAATAGGAATTTCGTTTGATGTTTCCCTCACATTGTGGGCGGCTGCAATTGGATATGTGGCTGGTGCTTCTCCTGCTGCTCCTGCTGCTGCTGTCAGTGACGGCTTCTGGGTTTAGCAAATGTCAGCTTGTCTTGTATATTGATATACAAGTATGTTATATACATTTGTATACACACACAGACACACACACAGCCACTCACGCACTCTCACGCATCATACCATATCTAGCTACTTAGCAAAATAGATTCGAATTGCGCTGCTGTGCAACACGTGCTGCTGCTAGAACATGACGAACAGCAGTGATGATGTAGGGTTATCGATTGGTTATCGATAGCCATTGGCTGTCATAATATTGGACAGCTTTCATAAGCTATGACAGAGTTGAATTCAAATCGAAGCAAAGTAGAGGCAACATTGCCTAGCTCTACATTTTATCAGCAGCATTTACCATGAGGTAGCCAATTGTAAAGTTGATGGTAATATAGCAAACTCTTAGCCAGCTTGGCTTGAGGTAGGGAACTGTAAATATATAGAACAGTTTAATAGAGTAGGAATAAATGTCGATAAATACAAACATTCGTTAGGCAAAACAAACTCAATTTTCAAGCTACAAGCCGGATTTAACATGAGGTATGGTAAACTAAATGTTAAATAAAATAGTACATTAAAATACGGATTCTGTTCCATAACATCAATCAAACTTTAAGAATAAATCCATCTAGCTACTACCTTCAAATGGCTTGTAAATTTTACCAGTTGCATTTACCATGAAGTAATTAGACTTGATTGATTGTATATATTAAGAGCAGCATTCCGATTGAGGTAGCGTATTGTAAACTAAAGGCTAAAATACTAAAGACTAAAATTATATGCCAAGTGCTGGAAAGTTCCGGCAGTGTTAATAAAAATACTGTTCGTGTCACGAGCACTGCGGAAATAGTATTAAATTCATATGATTCTATTAGTAAAACAAACAAAAGCAAAAGCAAAAGCACATGCACATGCACACACACACACTCATATACAGATATATATTTATATGTATGTATGTATGTATGTATGTATTAAGTATTGTGTATACATATCCAGCCACTCACGTAGCTCTTGAGCTCTTACTCAGCATCGTTTGCTCGACTCTCTGTGCCATAACGAAATTACGAAGTTCCTAACTAAACAAGTTGCCAATACATAATAATGCACACAATCCACAGCCAACAATGGGTCTGACAGGGCTGTGCTTGTGGGCGGGACGGGGCAGGGGGCGGTGTGGTACGGTTACGGCCATATGGGATAGCTGCAGCGTAAGCCAGGAGGAGTTTTTTTATTCGCAGCTGGACAAAAGAGACGTCAGTCGTTTCATTTGACTGATGTGCATGGTCACTAGTTGTATGCCTCTCTCTCACTCTTCTTCTCCCTCTCTCTCTCTCTCTCACGCACACACACACTGTGCAAACAGGTCTGGTACCCTATGGCATTTGCAATGCTTTTTACAGCCGAGTTGCTCTAATAATTCAAATACACAATAAATAAACGTGCATTGGTCTGCAACAACTCTAAATGGAATATCAAGCACTTAGGCCCAGTAGGTCCTGAGTCGATTGCAAATCGAATGCGAATGCAAATGCGATTGCGAATGCAAATGCGAGTGCGAATGCAAATGCCAAAGGAAATTCGTTAAAAACGAACGAGCATAGGTCAGAGCACTACGAAGCTCAATGCGAGCAGTTTTCGAAACACTCATCAAGTACTTGAGAGTGCGAATTGATGCGTAATTAGAAATGAGCTCGCATAGAGCCAATATACTCACTCGATACTCATTCTATACCCATTCAATAAATTGAACTTTTCAAAAAACACACTCATTAAAAATTGGAAGTATATTAACTTTGATTGAGATCAATATTGAATAAGTGCTGTATAAACACACCCATGGTCATACAAATAGTAGCAGAAAACAATTAAAAATTGAAAAAAAAAAAAACCGTGCATTTAAATGTGTATCAATTATTGTCAAAGTATATGGAAAAAAATTAAATAAAAAAATGTTAAAAAATATTTAAATGATAAGAATAAAGTTTTATATAAATATAAAGCTCATTTCTGACAAGTCGTCAGTTTGCTGTATTTTATTCTAAAATGTGTTGCTCGCTAATAAATTTCATAGTATCTCAAAAACTGTATTTATTGGGATTATGTATCGCTGGACTGTTGACCCTAAGCCTAGCACAAAAGGTATTTTAAGCTTGATCAGGATCAAAAATTAAAATCCTATGTATCATATATCTTTCATAAAATTTCTCAAAATTTTCTCAAGAGCGTCACATTCATGGGCTTGAAATGTGAAAAGAAATCCAATATCGTATTTCAAATTTCCTGTGCTTTGGAAACAAATAACTCATTTACGGTGGAAATAACGGCGGGCGACAAGGATGTCATCAATTTGATTGGCATTGTGGATATGGAGCTCAAGCACTATCAGCCCAAGGGAATGCGAGTGCGTGGTACGCGTTTGGATATATGCAAGATGGTAACATCTGGTGTGCGACCCTCATTGTTGAGCTTTCTCTATGCCGGCATACAGCAGGCTGAGCACAATTTACCAGAAAAATGTCCCTTTAAGAGGGTGAGTGACGCACACACACACACGCACACAGACACTCAGATAAAACTGATCATGAATCGCTTACAGAATGTGAAATATACACTGCGAGGCCTGAAGTTCAATCCAAATAGTTTGCCCATTTTCGTGCCCGAATATAATTTTACGTTTTCAATCAAATTCTTTGGGAATAATGCGAATCTGTTTGATTTGCGTGTCTGGGGCTCCTATTGCGAAATTGATAATGAAGCTTGTTTGGGCAAAACAAAAATAAAATAAATAAAATCGGCTGCGATTAACTGTGAAAACTTTTCCATAACAGTTTGTTTTCCTTTGTGAATGTTATGCATGAATAAATTATTTTTAAAAAAATTTGGAGTGATTAAAAAAATTTGTAGAGTCTATCTTGATGGAATGTGAGCTGAATAAACTGGTTGTAGTTATTAGGGTTGTCGAAAATATATCAATATATCAATATTTTATAGTATAAAAATATATTTATATCGGAATATATTTTTTGCCCAAATATCAAATATTTTATGTGATAGTTTTGATATATTTGAGTGATCAGTGAACCAAGCGAAAAGTACAAAATTTGAATATGCTGAAAACGAATTATTCGGACTTTAACAATGGAACATCCAAATAAAATTTGTGCCTTAAAGTAATAAAAACAAGTGCATACCACATCAGATATAGCGTCGTATATGGAAAAAAGCACTACGATACTTTTGAGTACCGAATACTGGAGTTAAGCAGTCTTTATCATATAAATAAAGAAATGCTTAGTCTATTATTCTTGTTTTTTTTGGGACGGATTATAAATTTGTTGTGGGGAAAAAAAAAAAAAAAGAAAAAGAAAAAGATTGATTTATCGATATTTTTATAGTTGCATATCAAATATTAATTTAGTATTTTTTCAAAACTTGATATTTTAAAAATCGATGCCTTATTTTTACAAATATTCGACAACTCTAGTAGTTAAGCATGTGGTTAGTATAAATATAACTAGCCAAGGGATAATTCACAGGCTTATAATTGTTGTGAATGGGTATACTATTTTGGACTTAACTATATATGTTAACTATACATATACTATACATGTATATAATCCTCTAATATTTCAAATAATTTTCTCATAAATTTATCTAAGCAACTCGACTTTAAGAGTTGCTTAGAAACATGACTGAAAAATGATATCAAATATATTTCTTTATATATGTATATATTGTATATATATATTTATTTATATATATGTTTAGCTCAGCTCTTATAACCTATTGCTATGGCTATTATTATGGCAATTACTTTCAACTTTTTGGTATATAATTTATCATGTGAACATCTGCATCTGGTGTTTCTCAGTGTTCTAGTTTCGCCCATTTGGCATTGCCTATTTCCCATCGCCCATCGCCCATCGCCCATCGTCCATCGTCCATTTCCCATTTTCAATTTTCCTTCGTCAGCTTTAACTTTTCGTTGTGTGTCTCGTGTGTTTTTGCGCTGGGTTTATCAATTTGTTATTTGGTACATGTGGGACATGTGCACAAATTTCCATTGTTTGGCTGTCGTAATTCAAAATTGATAAACGTAATACCGTTTTACCATTTTACCGTTCTGCCCGTTGCCATTTTCCAGTGGCGTGTCGACCCAAAAAAGTCAAAATAATTATACCCAATATAAGCTCAATGCGCGATAAGTGTTGCATTTTACATGAATGTCTATTAAGATGACATTAACCCAGTTACAAACTTTTAATAGCAAAAACTTTTTTTCCTTGTTTTAATTTTAAATTGTTGAAATCACAATTTTTTATCGAAATGTTATAGACTTCAGCCAGACGAACTTTTGTTCGCCTGCTTGACTGATTCGTATTCCACGTGCGCTTTTAATTTAACCAATATTATGGTTGAGTAGGTTTTGTAGTATTTTTAAAGTTTTTTTTTTTTTTTTTTGAGCGGCTTGATAAATTCGTTTAGAGAATTCGTAATGCAAATGATGGTATGTGATTCAGTTAGTTTGGGTTTTCAAGTTCTGTTGATATCTTCTGATGTTAGAATATCTTGTATTAAGAGTATTTTCTCAATAAATTTGACAATTTCATTTGAATCACATTTCAATATTTGAGGACTTTGCTCTGAGTTTTATGATCTGGGGAAGTTTGGGTTCCGTTTTCTCTGATATCCTGATATCAGCTGGCTTTTCATATATTTCGTATTTTCTTGTCTAAAGTATTTTTGTATTTTTTAAATACTTTTTAGCTAAACTGTAAAATATCATATGCAATTCAAGTCAATCCTGATAGATCTTGATCAGTTCTTTGAGATCAAGATCTATATATTTGTTTCAGTTTTATTTTCATTTCAAGTCAAACTTCAACTTTCTCTGCTTTTACCTTTTCTCACCTTAAGCTGCTCCCATTTGCACTTGATTCACTTAATTTTCTAGCATACCGTAAGTTTTCGCCTTGAGTTTAATCGAGTTTCACTTAAATTCAGCTTCTCTTTAATTTACTTTAATTTTAATAATTATCGCCTTTGCGTTTCCCTTGAGATTGCGCGACTGTCACATGTTCAATATTTTAATTGCAGGCGGGCTAATTAATTAATTGAAGTGAAATGAGCAATTGTTGCCTTTGCCTTTCTTGTTGCTGTTGTTGTTGTTGTTGTTGTTGTTGCTGTTGTTGTTGTTGTTGTGCAATTTGTTTCGTTCGCTGTTCGATTTGCTTATGCTGCAATTTTCATTGTATTTGTATCCTTGCCCCGTTTGGGGCGGCTTGCACTGGCCGCACGCTGTGGGCGTGGTCGTCAAGGGCCCAGCAGCACATGTGCCACAAACAGCAGCAACAATGCATGGCACAGCCTGACTAACTGGCTGGCTTTGGCTGGTGTCTCAGCTGTGACACAACCTTGAGGCACGACAACAGCAACAACAACAGCAAAAACAACAGCAACAACAAAATAACAGAGAACACCCAGTTGCCACACGCCCACACACACCCACACACACACATACTCAAGGCTTGTATGTAAATTTCATATGCCTGCTCTGCATGCGCCTTCGGGTGGTTATTGATTTTTGTTGCTTTTCAGGCCATTTTTTTCCTTCTTTTTTCTTTATTCTCTGCCACTGCCTCTGCCTTCCTCTGCTGCTTCCTTTGTTGTTGCTGTTGTTGTTGTTGTGCGCGCGCTTAAGCATTATTATTATAATAAAATCAACAACAACAGACTGTCTAGCTTGATACCCTAGGCATGGCTACAAATTGCCATCGGCTCGACTATCGATGGAATCTGTTGTATGCTATGACTGCATGATTATCGGTATTTATCGATACGTTAGCTGAGTGGAATGCAAAGAAAATAGGCAATAATGGTTTATAATGCTAAACAAATAAGAGCTATCGCTTAGTAATCGATAAATATCGAATTTGTCAATATTGTCGTACAAGGGATATATAGTTGTTATACATTAAACATTTTTAATAATGTCTAATGCCAACGGAATAATAGACATCGCTTATATATCGATAAATATCGATATTGATTGTATCACAGTATATAAAAGGTATAATTGTTATAGCTTAAGCATTACATGTGGCAGCTTTAATAGTTCATAGTGCCAAACGAATAATTGACATATTTTAAAATCGATAAATGTAGATGTGGGCAGTATTATATTACGAAATATATACATAGCTGTTATAGCTAAGGCAATAAATGTAGCTGCTTCAATAGTTTCTACTGCAACAAATATAGTAGATATCGGCTACAAATCGATAAATATCGATGATGGTAGTATTTACAGTATATAAAATATACCATTGTTATAGCTTAAACATGTGGTATTTTAATGAAACGAATAATAGACATCGCGCACAGATCGATTAATATCGATGTATGTAGTACTTACAGTATATAAAATATGCAGTTGTTATAGCTTAAACATTACATGTGACATCATTAAAAGTTCATAGTGTTAAACGAATAATAGACATCGGCTATAAATCGATAAATATCAATGTTGGCAGTATTATATTAGATGGAATATATAGCTTTTATAGCTAAGGCAATAAATTTAGCAGCTTCAATAGTTTTTATTAAAAACTTTTTAATGCTAAAAATACAATGGATATTGGCTAAAAATCGATAAATATCGATGTTGGCAGTATTATAATACATCTTCAAAAATGCTGAGGTACATATTTTGCTATTGTATAAGTTATAAGTATATACCTAGCGTAGAATATTGATATGCCTTCAGCTGGACTCTAAGAAATTCTCTTCTCTTATACAAAATGCCTTCAGTATATACATATATGTGTATATATATATATGTGTATATAGAAAGCAGCTGAGAATCTTTGTAGAATCAACTTGGCTTTC